ACTTTCCTGGCAATATGTATTGTATTAATAGATATTTTAAATCTTACATCTGTACTATTGCATCCCGAAATAATTATGTAAAGCTGTATATGTAACTTCCTTTCGCACGCTTTCGTAAACTTGCCAACTCGCATCAACAACTTCGAAAACGGTACAAAACTGTTACCCATACACGTCATGTTCCATGCTTCTCGATTATATCCACTGTATTCTTAGATTTAGTCATCTTAAAATCATTACTGATTTTAGTGACAAGAACACCTGAATATACTTTAGTGATCAATATAATTCTCATTAATTCGAGTTGTGACTGTGATGATTTAAAACATTCGACTACATGATGATACATCTTGTAATTTACAATTTCTCTCTCTATGCGTTCAATTTGAATGAGGTAAAGTTAATGTTTTTGATATAGTATACATGCTAAGCGCAAAAAGTGTGTGATGTCAAGGATAAAAAAAGAATGCGGGAATAGCCTTTTATGTGCGACTGTCACAGTTGCTATATTTGCTGATATAAATTTATACGCTGCGATAAGGATTTTTATTTCTAAAGGTACACTCCTAATGCATCGGTGGGAGAGTTTAAAGCTGGTTTTATCAATTAAGCTTTTAAAATATATTCAAATGCTTACGCGTCTCGAACGATTTTGCGCTCGTAGGCGTCTTGGAAATGAGTGGAAACTGGAAGTGAATTAGCTCACTCGATTGACGCTTGCTCTGGTTTGACTTCGAGCCATAATGACTTTTGCGTTCGCTCATCATGGTCCTCACCGTCTCCGTGTATGTTTGCATGCACCTAGACAAGTTCTTGTTCTGCTCAAAAGCCAGCATTCATGTGGCAGTTACAATATTTTAAAACTAATTCCAAACGATTCTAGTTTAAATCAAGCAATTGGCCATCAGCATCGTACCTATTTTTAAACTATCTCCACCCCATCTAAATCTCGTTTGCCTGAACAAACGAAAAATGATCATGAAAGAAAGGAAAGAAAACTTACGATGATTTAACAAATAATTAAATAAACTATAAATAACTAAAGAGAACACTGTAAAAAGAAAACACTATATACAGGACAAGGAGAATTCTTGAAAATGTTATGGTAATAGAGCTAAATAACTATGAAGGTAACGCTGATAGGGAAGAGAAACGCTCAATAAAACGGGGCAGGGACTTTAACATAGTCATCTTCAGACTGGAGGAAGTCTTCAAGTAAACTCGACTTGATCACTTTCCGACATTTGGTTCGGCTAAATAGTTTTATTGAGCGTGGAATTTAGTTCCAGGTCTTAACACCGATTCTTGTGAAAGAGTTAAGCATCTCTTCCGTCCTCGAAAATTTAACATAAAAAGATTCGTTGGAGCTAAATTCATTCCAAATTTGTTGCAAAGAAGATATAACTAGCTTTTTAATGGATTTAACAACCTGTATTTAACGGTATAATTCCTACTTAATGCTAAAGTACACATAAAAGCTGATTTTTACGAGAAGCCTGAATGCCAAATTACCTTCCATAAATAGTGTCCAGGTCTTCTGTTTTAGCCTCATTAAGGTACTTAAATGCTTGCATTAGGATACTCTTTTCAAAAAAGTGAGCGCACGCCTTTTTGTCGCCTCCCCCTCTCTTCTGATTCTGAAAAAGAGGACAGCATTTACAGTTCCTACTCATGTTAAAGTACGTGTATTCGATCACCGTGTAATTAATATTACATGATGTAAGAGTAGGCCATGGATATAGTTTGTGTAATAGTGCACGATGTAATGGGTATGCTTTTTATTAAGCATGTAAGTGAATGTAGACCTGAGTTTCACCGGCAGATAAAGATAATTGAACCGAACAAATATGCTTTGCCATTGTTGAATTTGCCACCGCTTACATCATTGGGAAAACGAGCTGAACACTGGAAAAAAATGTGTTAGCTAAGAAGCTGTCCTTATTAAATACTATGGTGACTGTCTCATACCCAGACGTCTCTCTCGATAAAAATTTGTTCGCAAAGGAGGGCGGGGAAGAGATTGACGTGAAAACTGAACTTAAATGCTGATTTTCCCTGTTACCAAGAAGCCTGAACGCCAAAGTACCTTCAATAAATAGCGTCCACGTCTTCTGTATTAGCCTCATAGGTATACTTTAAATACTTGGGTTACGTCACCCTTTTCAAGTATCAATTTATAGTAACATACATAACATACATACATAATCATGTTTTTCAGAAACTTGATAAACTGGATGTTAGGATTTATGCTCTTGAACCTTGATTTCAAATACTCCCAAAGCAATAGTAAAGAACCACCGCCATGGGAATTCACTGATAAAAGAAGTCGCAACTATACAACTGGGCTCTTGCAACTTTGATAAGCGACTCTGAAATGTACCTCCACCTCTGACGTTTTCACTACACATATCTCAACGAACTTTTAACAATAAAAAGCACTGTGTTACTACTCACTCATCAGACGCCCAAGTATACGTTCTTACAGAGTTTTGTTTATTTTAAGTCGCCAGTGCCGGCAGTATTTGCATCCTTCGAAGTCAGTATAGCTAGCCCGCGAGCAGGCTCACTTTTTCGAGTTCGGGAAAAATTTTGACAGCGGAGCCGCCATTGCGTGAGGAGAATGTGTCGAGGCCAAAATAATGCTCGGAGGCTTCTGTGAAGCACGTAAGAGTAACAAACTAACACTACTGACCAAACATGTACATTTACGAGTATTTATTATCCTCTTTTTCCTGCTTAATAACCTAGATATGGTTTCCTCAAAGGAAAGGGGGTTTGATACGTTTTTAAAAATGTGTTCAGTTGTAAAGGGAACAAAACGATAATATTCAACGGTAAAATCAATTTAAAAACCTGTATTTCCAAGAATTCATCCAGTAATTTATTTGCAATCCTGTCTGATTAGACATTATATATAGAGTAAATGCTTTAAGTTGTTGTAATGGATAACTGCTTATGCAAATACATGAAATACACTGAGAAAACAATCTAGCACCTTGTAAATTTAATAGATTAGTTTATTAGACATAATGTTGCATGTACTGCCTGTACGTAAATAAATGATTACTTTTACGGCGCCTGTAACCACATTTTTGTTATTCTTTAATGTTAGCTTATTATTCAGTACAAATTTGTAACCTTTATCTGACTCTATATACTGAACTGAATTTTAAATTTATGCGATATGTTGTGTAATTCGGTATCATTTCAGAAGTAGGTTGAGTATAATCATTAGTTTGCCATGAGTCCTAATACCGCTAGAGGGTTGGAAGAGTACAATAGATTGGTGCCATCAGCAAATGTTCTAATAGTTGCCTTTTCTAAGCAATTGGGCATTTCATTAACATTTATTAATATCAGAACTTAAAGACCCGGTTAAAAATGTGTAGCGAACCTAATGCTTTTGACCTGGGAACATTACATTTCGTGTATTGTCATTAAGTTTGTCACGTGTGAAATTTGACGTTTGAATCCTAAGGACCAGGAAAATAAAATCAAAATTTCCCTCTATGACCAAAGCTTAAAATTAAACTAAAGAAACACTTCATATTATACCTAGCCTGCATAACAAGCGTTTGCAATCGAGTAATTGAGCGAGTTAGCCCCTCTCAGCCTCTCCTTCCTCTTTTTTGCTCTCTACAAACTTAGTCTCTCACACAAAACTCGCGCGGAAAAGCTTGCTTAGCGGGCTACTTTTATACCTTTTTAACCTCCAAAGTTATTATCCAGTCACAATAAAGAAGGGTCAGCTCGGTGTGTTTAAATGATTATTATTAAATGTTGAAACATAACCAGCTGCCACTGTGGTGGCACAAAACTCAAAACCCACCTCGTTTCTATTGTTAACAATGAACTTGCCAAAATAATTATTTGGCTTAAAGTGAATAAGTTATCTCTAAATTTGACTAAAACAAATCTTATGATTTTTCATCCAAGGCAAAAGAAAGTCAATGTTAATGTCCCTCTTACTTTGGAAAATACTGTGATCAAGCAAGTCACGGAGACAAAATTTTTAGGTGTTCTCATTGATCAGCATCTCTCTTGGAAACCACATATTGATTTCGTCTCAAAAAAAATCTCGAAAAGTGTTGGAATAATTGCGAAAGCCCACTTTTACCTATCATCCCAAACTTTGATGACCTTGTATTACTCCCTTGTATATCCTTTCTTAACATACTGTAATGTCGCCTGGCCCTCCACCTACTGTTCTAACCTAAACTGTATTTACCTTTTACAAAAGCGCCTAGTGCGGCTCATAACAAAAGCTCACTATCTAGCAAATACCGCCCCTTTATTTAGCCAGCTTAAAGTCCTTGACATTTTAGAATTAATTCATTTCTCTCGCTACTTTTATGAATTCTTATCACCACAATCTTAGTAGCTTTCGTGACTTGTTCTTAAGTAATAATCAAGTCCATCAATACGAAACTCGACTAGCCTCTCAGTATAGACCTCATTTTTGTAGAACAAATATAAAGCAATTCAGTATCCTTTACCGAGGACCTAAAATCGGAATTCGTTGCCTATTTTACTAATTAGCTCTCCTTCTATATTTGTTTTTTAAAAAAATTTAAAGAATTATCTCAATGATAGCTGATCTGTCTCTTAATTTTCTGATCTTGCTCACTCTGGGGGGTGATGAATGGTTCATTAAAATTTTTAACTGCTCGTAAAATTTTACCTTTGCTTGATTTGCTCGCAAAATTTAAACCAGTGCTCGCTTGCTCGTGCTCCCCAAATTTTTGCAGTTGCTCGCATGCTCGCTTTCTTGTCAGTATTGCTCGAAACTTCGTTGGGTTAAAGCAAGAGAAATAGTAACTCTAATTCTGTATGGTGCTTAATTCCTATAAATGTGGCTATCAAGTTCAGTAGAAATGCACGGGATAAAATGAAAGATAAATAATAAATTAGCTAATCTAGGTATATATGGTTAAAAAGAGAAGATGTTGTTACCAATTGAGTTCTTGCGAGTTTCTCTAGCGCTCTATACTCACTGGGCTTTAATTGGGTCGTGTTTTAAAACGGTTTGGAAGCTTTAGAATTTTTCCAGAAGAGGTTGTTCTGACCCGAGGATCTTGTTCCTCTTCAAGTTCTTCTTCATCCACATCAGTCATGTCCCTTTCTTCAACCCCCCTTGTACGCTCGAGACATTCTTCGTTGAGCTCTTGGTTTAAATCGATATGAAAACCTTCGTCTGTGAACTGCACTTCCCAAACGGTTCCAATCACAAGATGTTTCTCTACCTGAGCGGTGAACTTGTAATTGAATATTAGACAATCTTTGGGATCGCTTGCGTACAGCTGTATTTTTACTTTAGACGAAGTTCTCTTAGGGTTTTGTGCTCTAAATTAAAACCCCGTTTTAAGCTATATTCTGTTTTATTTTAAAGAAAAGGATTTCCCTATGGATTGTTGCAAGCGGAAAATATAAGAAGTGCTCGCTGCTCGCGAGTTGTACTCTCTACACTGGTCGCTGCTCGAAAGCAAACTTTTTATCTCTGCTCGTGCTCGCAAAAAAAATCGCAGTGCTCGCATGCTCGCGAATGCTCGCAAAGACCATTCGTCACCCCTACTCTGCACTCAGACATGAATTTAGTTCATTAGGTAGTTGAAGGAAACCTATTGATATAAGCTTCAAGCTTTGTTAGGCTTCCTTGTCACATTAATTCTATAATTTAATTAACAACTTTTGTTCATGTTGTATAAGGTTTTGCGAGTGACTAAATAAATAAAATAAATCGTATATTGATCGATCAAAGGGAAAATTATCCACTCAAGATAAGACAAAAAAACTTCGAAAAATAAATATTCCAAAACGTTTTCAAAAATAATTATAAAACGGCAATTACCATGATTACCAGTCTGTGTTCGGTATTGTCGTATAAATATCTTTAAAACAGTATTCAAATACAGCTTTTTAATTTCCTTTCTTAATATCACTTTCGACATAAGTGTTTGTAGAAGTAATTCATTGCATATTTGCTATCACC